CGCCTGGGGAGCCACGTGGCCACCCGCTGCTTCGTGGCCTCCGTGGCCGCCTTCGCCCTCATGTCGCCGCTGGGCATCGCGCTGGGCATGGGCCTGTCGCAGAGCCGCGGCCCGAGTGCCACCCTGGCCCAGTGCTTGCTGCAGGGGCTGGCGGCCGGCACCTTCCGCTACGTCACCTTCCTGGAGATCCTGCCCCACGAGCTGAGCGCTGCCCGCGGACGCCTGCCCCAGGTGCTGGCCCTGCTGCTGGGCTTCTCCGCCATGGTCACCCTGCGCTTCCTGGGCTGACGCCCCCGGCATGGCCCAGCTCAGCCTGGCACTGCTGGCCCCGGGCCCAGGGGAAGGGCCGGGCTGTGAGTGGACTGCGCCAGGCTGGCTCTGGGGTGGGAGCGTGGCCGGGGCAGCCGCTGGCCTGCGGGGTGGCCCCGCCAGGGCTTTAGGAGTGACGGGCAACAGTGTGCATTGCCTACAGGTGACGTGGGGTCTGTTTTTATGTGGCGGGAGGGCGGGTCCCGCTGGGGTAGGTGTGAGCAGCTGGTTCTGGTGGATGTGGCCTGTGGACAGCTGGGCCCGTGCCCCTCGGCCACGAGCCTTTTAACATGGGGTTGGGCCTGTTCTTATACGTGGCGTTTGTATTGCTGAGTATTAAAGACACTACTGCTGCTTACACACCGGCTCCGCTCCCTGCCTGCCCCAACCAGGGGACGGGTGGGGGGTGGCATCCTCCCTGGACAGAAGGGGGAGCTGGGCACCCAGGAGACACCCTTGGGGCTGCAGCCTCATCTCCCTTGCACAGGTGGGGCAACAAATGGGCTCTGGGGGCAACGAGTGGGGGCACAGAGCCAGCACTGCTGCACCCAGGGGCTGCGGGGGGGCAGCCTGGGCTCGTGGTGCCACAGCGCCCCCTGGTGGGCACGAGGTGCCATGGGGAGGCGTTTCGGGGGGCCGGGGCTGTGGCCCGGGGGCAGGCAGCTCCCAGCTGCAGAGGGCTCTGGCAGTGCCACTGCTCCCTCGGCCAAGGCAGGAGCAGGTGGAGCCTGGCCTTGGTGCAAGATGTCGCTGCTCTCTGTCCCTGGCCTCCCCTGTGGGCAGGGCTGGTCCTGCCTTGCTGGCACTGGCAGGGAGGGCCCGTCCCAGGGCTGGCACCAGCCCCAGCCCCAGCCAAGCGCTCGCTGTGCCCCAGGTTGGGAGGAGCGGAAGCGGCCGGGCCCCCGCGGCTGGTGGCGGGGCTCTCCCAAGGAGCAGGTCTCGGGGATCCAGGCTCCAGCGCTGCTGCTCTGCACTCGCTGGCCAGGCCTCCTGTGGGCAGTGCCCTGCTTGGGTTGGGGGGTGGGCACTGTTCCCAAGGGACTTGACCACTGCACAGCACCCTCAGGCCAGGGAGCAGAGGGCTGGGCCCTGTGGGGGTGACTGAGAGGGCATCAGCTGGGCGTGCAGGGGTAATGGTAGGGAAGCCAGTCCTCTCTCCTAGGTTTAATCAGCAACAGGGGAGCAGGGGGGGCCCAGTGGCTGCTGCATGAGCAGGGCAGGGAAGCCAGCCCGGCCTGCAGGCATCTCGGCGAGTCCTGGGGCAGGCGTCTCTGTGGAATGGGCCCTCGGCGGCTACTTGTCCTGCATGTTGGTCAGTGCCCGGACTGCGGGGGAGAGCAGACGGGGCCCTGGCAGCAGCCGGCAGAGGAGCACCTGTGCCCCCTCCCACCGCTGGGCCACTCCAATGGGCTTGTAGCACATTGGGCAACAGCAGGAGGGAGCAAAGTCCTGCAGAAATGGAGCAAGAGCTTCTCTACCCCCTGCCCCTCCTCACTCCACCACGAGCCGGAACAAGGGAGAATTGTCCCTGCTCTGGCCCAGAGCAGCCAGGGGCAGATGAGCTCCCGTGGGGCAGGAAACACAGGGGGTTGGCACTGAAACCAGCTCCCTGCCCACTGTAAGGACCTGCTGGGGGACACACGGCACAGAGCGACCACATGTGCCTGAGAGCTCAGGGGAACAGAAGGCAGGAGAGAGACGGGCCATGGGCATGGAGGCTGGCACCAGAGCCGGGGCCTCACAGCCCCTCTGCTCTGCTCTGCGCTGGGCCGGGGCGCGGGCGCGAGCGCAAGCGCTCACCTGCATATTCCTGCAGCCGCCGGCGCTCCTCCAGGTTGTACTGCAGCTGCTCCAGCAGCTCGAAGTAGCGGAAGAGGGAGTCCCGGGGCCACACCACCTGCTCGCCCTCGCCGCCCTCCCGCAGGCTCTCCAGGTTCTGGTGCACGTACGTCTCCCAGTCCACTGGTGGGCCGAGGCGCCCAGTCAGGGCTGGTGGTGGGCAGCCCTGCTCACCCCATGCCCCCAGTGCCCCCCCCCATGCTGGGATAGCCCCACCCGCAGCCTCCCCCTGCCAAGGCAGGGGCCGGGGGGGGGGAAGGGGGTGGCTCCAGGGTCCCA